AAACTCTCTCTAGCGGCAGCGCGCGCATCCCTTAACAGCCGCGCGGAAGCCTATTTTCAACGTCAAATTAAAATTATAAATAATGGAGATAGAGTTTCGGGGGTCGGGACTTTTTCATCAGAAATTTCCTCCTCTTCAACGAGCTTTTTTCAAAATTGCTTAAATATTACTATTTTCTGAGTTATTAAGGAAAAACTAAATACCATTTTTTTAAATCTTATTTTGTTAATAACAATTGCATTTTTCATCTGCACCAAACTCCTTCAAATACATTTTGCTAGAGGTGATTCCGAATCGAATGAGCTATCGCTCATATTTTTAGGACCTTTATTTCCATTTTTCATGTTTTTAAACTTGTTGATCAGACTACTATTGTTCTACTTCGGGTTCTGGGCCGTTTGTTGGGTTTAAATTCCACATCACCGATTGTTAACTCAATTTTAGCCTTTCCTCATTATAAGCTGGTTTCAAACTACTCCGTCATCTTTGGCCTTCTCCAGGTTAAGTATTTTCCTGCGTACTTATATTTTTTTCATTTTTCAATGGTACTCATAAGAGAAACCTAAAAAAAATACACAACATTTTGTGTGGAAAACTCATGGTTATTGCCGAAAGAAACTATTTCATGAATTGTTTCTTTGCCTAGAAGGTGTCACTGGAAAATAATAACTCTGGTATAACTTTCTCAAGATAGACATTTTAATTATGATTGGTTGTGGTAATAAAACAAGAACTCAAAAGGAGGTTTGTGAAATTTTTAATAATAAATACCCTGGTCAACACGTGGCGCAGTCTACATTTAGCAAAATTCGTGAAACTGGATATGCAAAAAATATTGGAAACCAGGTAGAAATATTCAATTAACTGATGAAGAAAAATTAGATGTACTTCTAGAGATTGAGGAAAATCCGCATCAGACAACTCGAGAACTTGCCGTCGACAATGATGTGAGTAAATAATCTATTTTGAGAGTTTTGCATAAAGAAAAATACCACCCTTCCAAAGTTCAGTTCGTTAAGGAGTTGAATGAAGATGATCCTGATAGAAGGCAAGAATTCTGTGAATTGATGATAGACAGAATGAACGCAGATTTGCAGTTTATAAACGAAATAGTGTTTTCTGATGAAGCGACGTTTCATTTAAACGGAACAGTTAACAGACGAAACTGTAGATATTGAAGCAGAGAAAATCCTCACTGGATGTGTGCGACTCACACTCAATAGCCTGAAAAAGTTAACGTTTGGGCTGGTATCATCAACAATAAAATTATTGGTACTAATTTTATACATTACAAATACATTTTCCTGATGTTAATCATCCAAATGAGAGAGATCGAACTATTTACTACCAACAAGACGGAGCTCCATCGCATTTTGCACGTACATTTAGAAATCATTTAAACGAGGTTTTTCCTAATAGGTGGATTGGAAGACGTGGAACGATCGAATGGCCCAATTTGACTCCTCTCGATTACTTATTATGGGGTTATTTAAAATCTCAAGTATATTTCAATAGACCAAACAATATTGCTGATTTAAAAGTTAGGATAACGGAAGAAATTAACAAAATAACCCCCGAGGTCATACAAAATGTTGTACGAGAACTCCAAAATCGCCTCGGTTATTGTCAAGAAGTTAATGGTGGTCATTTCGAANACATCATTGAATAGGTTTCTAAAATACACAGCTGTGCCACAATTTAACCGACACTCTATCTCATATTGTTTACGAGATCCCCATGCACAGAAACAAATTTGAATAGCCCTGTATATGACTATTACATGAAGATATATTGTGAAATCAGTAGATAAAGCGAATTGTAAAATTAATTCAAGACACCAAAGGTATGGTATACCTGTAGGGTATACCTGTATAGTACACCTGTATAAATAAATAGGGTTAACCTTGCAAGTTTTTCCAGTTTAATCTTCCTCTTGAAGATGATCACTTGGTGATAGAAACACATGTTGGGGAGTTGAAAATAACGATTTGGTGTTGGGAAAAACTCCAGTAATATTAAATCCTATACTTAATTTAAAATTATACCCGGAAACATGAAAACATTGCTTCCTTGAAGATTTCACTATTCTCTAGTAATAAACATATCAGTGTCAATCGTAACCAATATTATCGACCACTGATGCATTTAAATGAATATCCGCAAAGTTCTATGGGATATCTAGATTAGAATTATAACCACATCCATCTTGTCAACACGTATGGTCATTCACGTCGTTGTGGAACACCATAATATCAATTTATTATCCGATAAACTGTACTCTTGATCAATTTATTCGCAATTTGAAAATATTACCGATGCCATATCGAATCGAGTGATCCATAAAACAAGCGACAGTAGTACAGTTATGACCGGAATCTGCATCTGATCTAAGTCGCGCAGTTATATATTTGCAGCAACCGAGATGAAAAAATGCGTGCTTGCATGAGTCGAAGTTGATTCACAGCGATTTCCTTGTTTCCACAAGTTTTGACACAGTTTTAAGATCGTTATTAAATTATTGTGATTCACATTGCTTCTTTCGTATGATAATATAATCAGAACAAGTAACAATTCAGCTGTCGAAAGGTTTTCACTCGATGATCAAGAGAGTTTAGAGTTTTGATTCGCAAAACTTTGTGAAATAATAATAATAATAATGATACTATTACTGTATACTGCCCAACAGTTTCCCTTAAAGAGCAAAGTTTATAGAGGTGAAATCTGTTTCTGTCTGTTTAAAATCTGTTTTTCCGTTAATCAGCTGTCGCCCCCATACGAACGACTACTCTCAGAAGTTGAGAAGCTTGTGCGAGCTAAGGATTAACGGGGTCTTACCTTTTAACGTGTGATTCCTACAAATACCTTGGTACTATCCAAGACAGGAAGCTAACATGGAACTCTCACCTACAGAGTGGCTTATGAGTAATGTCGGAGGATAGTGGGACGCACATGGGGTCTTTCACCCCGTGTGGTCACCTGGATCTACACTCTTGTCTNGAAAACACGTTTTCACCGCAAACACAGCTTGATAACAAAGTTCTGTTTATAAACAAGTAACATAGCAACAACCTAGCAACAAGAAAACTCTACTATAATCAACGGTACCTGATTCAAATATACCGGGAAGGTAATGAATTGGTACATTTTTCCGTTTCAAAAATGAACAAAATTTTATTGAAATCGGTCAGAAATAAAATTATCTATGTACCACGGGAATTAATGAGCCTTAATAACCTCAGGCAATTGCTGTCCCTCGGGCCAGAGGCCCTCGGGACGCAAACTTTGCCATCGGTAATTAAGGCCCTCCTAATTCCCTTGATACATAAATAACTATTATTTGGGTTTCCACTCACTGATCATAAGATACATTTCCATATTCTTCGTTTACTCTAAATCTGAATTTAAGCCTCTGAAATGTTGAAATTGATTAAATAAATCAACTATTCCATTAAATGTTTTTTTTTAATTACATTCTTTCTATTTTCAGGGACCAACTCAGCACTGTAGGGAGGATGGCCCCTAAATCAGAAGAGTCTTCAAAATTTGATCGAATTCCTGCAGTAGATGATACATTACGGGTGGGTTAATGCTATTAGTTTGAAATTAGGCAAAGTTATTTGAATAGTATCACTGATACTATGCAAAATTATTCGAATAGTATCACTGATACTATTTCGTATAAAAAATTAGAACAATCAGTTCAAATCCTCTTGCTTTTCAGATAATTCAAATTATCCATTTTTTTTTCTGATTCTCATGGACCTTATTGTGAAATATACTATCACACTAATTCAGATCATACAATAACTCCTTCAGGCGAGTCTATACTAGTTTAGACTATGCAATAGCTTTTTCAGGCGTTTCTATACTTGTTCAGACTACATAATAGCTTCTTCAGGCGCATCTATACTAGCTAAGACCAAACGAAAGCTTCTATAGGCGTGTCTGTACTAGTTTAGACTATACACTAGCTTCTTCAGGTATTTATTCACTTGTTCAGATCATACAATAGCTTCTTCAGTCGCATCTATACTATTTTGGACTATACAATCGCTTCTTCATTCGTGTCTATACTAATTCAAACTGTAAAAAAGCTTTTCGGCGCGTATTTATACTAGTTCAAACTTTACAAAATTTTCTCCATATTGTACTATACAATAGTTTTTTCAGGCGCCTCTATACAAGTTCAGCCTATTCAATAGCTTTTTCAGGCACATCTATACTATCACACTAATTCAGATCATACAATAACTCCTTCAGGCGAGTCTATACTAGTTTAGACTATGCAATAGCTTCTTCAGGCGTTTCTATACTTGTTCAGACTACATAATAGCTCCTTCAGGTGCATCTATACTAGCTAAGATCAAACGAAAGCTTACATAGGCGTGTTTGTACTAGTTTAGACTATACGCTAGCTTCTTCAGGCATTTATTTACTTGTTCAGATCATACAATAGCTTCTTCAGTCGCATCTATACTATTTTGGAGTATACAATCGCTTCTTCATTCGTGTCTTTACTGATTTATACTGTAAAATAGCTTTTCGGCGCGTATTTATTCTACTTCAAACTATACAAAATTTTCTCCAGATTATACTATACAATAGTTTTTTCAGGCTCCTCTATATAAGTTCAGCCTATTCAAAAGCTTTTTAGTCATGTCTATACTAGTATATATACATTAGCTATATACAATAGCAGACTATACTAGTCTGTACTTGTACTGAAGCTACTGTATAGCGACACTCGTGTTACGTTTTCGAAAAATTCTCCAGTGAAAACCTCACAATGAAGTGTTTTTCGATTACGTTATGCTTTCCAGCCTCTATACAAGTTCAGACTATTCAATAGCTTTTTCAGGCATATCTATACTATCACAGAGTATACTATACAATACCTTCTTCAAGCGCATCTATACAATAGCTATAGATTAGCTTCTTCAGACATGTCTATACTAGTACATAGGTATTATATTATACAATAGTTTTTTGAGGCGTGTCTACAATAGTTTAGATAGCTTCTTCCGTCGTTTTTATACTAGTTTATACTATACAATCGCTTCTTCTGGGGCATCTATACTAGTTTAGACTATACATTAGGTTCTTCAGGTGTCTATTGTTGAGTTTGATATAGTTTAGTATAGTACAAGTGCAGACTATACTAGTATAGACACGCTTCAAGAAGCTACTGTATAGCGACACTCGTGTTACGTTTTCGAAAAATTCTCCAGTGAAAACCTCACAATGAAGTGTTTTTCGATTACGTTATGCTTTCCTTCCTCAACTCTATGTGAAACTGAACTATTTATTTTCTGTAGGAGAAACAGAGACCCCCTCTTTACAACCCAGAAGATTACGCTATATGGCTCAAGAAATGGGGAAAGAAAACCGTAAATGGCTCTGTATCTCTCTATTCCTCGTCCAGTATGTCGGACTTGTCAGATGGCAACCGCTCCCAAAGAAACTCCTTCAGAGACTACAGAAATCCTATGCTGAGTTCTTCAGGGTTGGAGATGACCTTGAGGCAGTTCGGAACAGTTTCTGAACTTCTAGCCAAGTTGAAAAGCGATCTTAGATTGGCCTACCCAAGGTAAGCATCGAAGGCTTGTTTAAAGATAATCACTACTTTATTTTGAGACCATTGGTTGTTTAGTTGCTACCAACACAACAGCTAAAAAGTACTGATGATTTCAAACCCATTGAGCTGAAGACATTTCGTGGTTTTATATGAAAAATACGCTTTTGCGAACAGAGAATTATGAATCCATTTTCATCACAAATTGTTGAACAAATCATGAAATATTGGAAAAAATCAACTTTCATTCCGTACTTTTCAAAGGCTGTAACTTTTTTTGTGTGCACATTTGTATCGAGGTGAGTTCTTCAAAAGAAAAACCATTTTCTCTCGATTAGCATCTATCGACGTTATTGAAATTTCTTAAAAAAGTACATCATTATACTAAACACAAAAAAATCAAATCATGAAATCCCTAATTGAATTCGAATTGAAATTACATAGAAAAAATTTATCATAATACTTAAGTCAGATTGAAATCGAATAAAACAAACAAGCATCATCCGTCTTCGAATTGATTTCGTTATTAAACAGGCTATTACTGGAGTATTATTAGATCCAAACTATAATGAGCCAAGTTTATCGGAGGTAGCAATTTTTCAGTCTACTTTGAATCAACTGTACATGTAGGTAATTGTACAGAAGTTCACTATAATAACATCGAGTAATAGTGAACACATTATCAGCAATGCTTCGAAGATGGAGGATATCGGTATATTGCTATGGAGCCTATATCGTATTTTATGTTCACTGGCACTAGTTTTTCCCTGATATTCTGCAAAATTAATGTGAAGTAGAGAACATTGATTTTTATTCGATTCAAATGTATATCCATAGGATTTACTCTCGATTATAGAGCTCCCCTTTCAAAATACGTGCTAGAAATCGCACATCAAAATGTAAGACCTCGTTAATCCATGGCTTGCACTCGGTTTCTGAGGGTTATCGTTTGCAAGAGAAGTAACCAAGAAATGGCAAAACATATGTCAACAAGATCATCATTTTCAACAACAAGTCTGCAAGTCAATTCCATTTTTATTCTGACAAGGTTGATCATGTTAGTCAAAATTTCTGTCGGATCGAAACCATCGTCATGAGGTACGTCATTCCATGAAACACCTTCAGATTGAATATCTTACTGAAACGACAATTCAATCCCCCAATAAAAAAATCAGGGTTCAAGAGTTTTATGGATGAGTCTTTGTCTGTACCACTCCATACATCAACTAACTGGTACTGCATGATCAAATAAATCAACCTTTTCGATATAAAAACTGATTTCGTTGAAGCCTCACAGGAATTTATCACTTCTGCGAACAGAAGTCACTTTTTCGGAAACTAAGTGTTTCCTATTTTTTGGTCCAGTTCTTCTTCACGACATTTGGTCTGAATCTGAATTTATGGAAGCTCTATGAGAATTTTCGGCAAATAAATTTCCCCGCCTCCTGAAATGTTGTTTTCAGTGGTTTGTGGCTCATTTGCATACATCTACGACGTAAGAACCCCATTAGAAAAATTCAAATCGCACGATTTCGGTGGCCGTTTCACATCACCTCCACTTGATATGACCATGCTCTGAAATCGCTCGTGCAGAATATCCAATGCTGTCGTTGGTATCCAGATTATTCAATTCAGGCCAAAGGAAGTTGATAACCAACGACCTAGTACTTGCTGTTGACAATGATGGTCTGGCCTGGCATTGGACGCTCTTGGATCTCATGATATCGTCTCAAGTTCAACAATTTTGTTTGTTCACAAACCCGTTCATCCAGAAACGGGCCTCATCGCTGGGGATGCAAATCAGGATTAGTTTTCAATCGCTCCAGAGCCCAAACGAACAAACGTCGTTGTCTAGTGGTAAATTGTAAAGGGATCGATTGAGTCTCTCATAGACTGGAAATGCCACTCTCTTCCATTCTGCAAATGTATTTTTGAACCTTTGGGCTATAACTTTATGGAAAACAGGGTTATCTGGATTGGATTTAATTGCAGCAGCATATGTTAGGCTGAGCTATTTGCTGAGGATATTTAATGGAGGTTCTCACAGTATAAACTTCCAACCGGACTTGTGTGGAATACTCCAAAAGCAATTCTGAGAGCACAGTTATGGATGGTGTCCAGTTTTTTGATGATCCCGTTTTTTGATAAGACCTATGTTGATGAAACAATTCTATTATTTACTCGTATTATTGAATGCTATATCTGTCCATGGTGATTTAGCAGAACAGTTTGATTAAATGACAACTAATTTGACAAATGTAGCTTCACCAAGATGGCCGTTGTCAATTGTCAAGTTTTGTTACTCCCTGTTGAGAGACCCTAAAAAGTGCGGTCCATATGTATGGAATACATTTATTTTCAGCGTTATTATGTACTATGTGAAAAAAACCTGAAACAGCTCGATTTTCATTCTTAAATTGACAATTCACAGTATGAAAATATTATCCCCCTCCAGCACCCCTTCCGAATTATAAGCACCCCCTCGAAAATTTTGAATAGAAAAGGGGGTCGTGTGGCACCTTGTTGGAAAGGGATTTTAGTCCTCTGTTCAGCAATATAAAGTTTTTTAAGTTTGGTGCAATCATAACTGAGAAAATTGATTTTNAGGTGTCACTGGAAAATAATAACTCTGGTATAACTTTCTCAAGTTTTTTTCCTTCACCCCTTCAATATGTTTCTCTACCATCCTCACACTTTTCCATTAATATTTTCCACTGTTTACACCAGTGTTTCAAGTCAGCTTCTCAGAGTTAATTCATAGTCTCCTTCGCTTTCTGTTCTACATGAAACACTATCACTAACAATGCTTCCTTTACTTATTGAATAAGTGACATTGGGCTATATCTGCTGAGTACGGTGGATGTTCCATCCTAGAAATCCCATGCTTGGCAAACAATGACTAAACAATCAAAGCAGTGTGAGCCCTGATGAAGAATCCTCGATTTGTTCTACCACATTTCTGGTCGCTTTCTTCCGTCTTGCTGACGAAGGAATGCTAGATCATTCCTCATTCACTGTCTGTCCTGCGATACGGATTTACTTATAGAATTCCATGAATGTCTATGTTTTCATCAGTTCTTGAAGTTGAAGGACATCCATGCTGTAAATCATCTTCGATGTCTTCTCGCCCTCCTTTGAAATGTGTATACCGCTCTTGCATACATTTCTGTCGGATTCAATTCAATATCCAGCGTGGTATTAGCTGGGAAAGTAGTTGTTTTCCGGCAGGCATTTACCAGCCCCTACTGTTTAGGTAATTGGGAGAGATAAATATTTCGATATTTTATTTCGAAATATTTATTTTCTCTTATGTTGATTTCAGTTTATACCAAATTTTCGAATAAGGTGAATCCAAATCGAAAAAATAAGTCAGGAAAGCAAAGCACTAAATACTCTCTATTTTGAAGTTTATTTGTTTATTATGTACCAGGAACCCACAGTTTCGTTGTACAATAAAGTAAAGTCGCTCGTTTTCAAGTTTGTATAAATTGAATCAGTTTAATTGTGATAACGACATTCATAAAACGTTATATTCTTGTAGGTCGAGCTAGCCATTTGACAAATAACTGTTTTCTCTAAAGACTTTATATGTCTTTGCGTCCTAAAGGTATTGAACGATTTTTTTTGAGCTTCCGACAAAATAAATGTACATCTCAGCCAATTGGAAAAAACATGTTTGGGAAAATCCCCAGCAGAATCGCAATGTATTTAGGATTGCCAAACTCATCTTCCTATACGGGACATTGCCTTCGTCGCACTTCTGCTACTGCTCTAGCCAATGCAGGAGCAACTATGACTAACTTAAAAAGACACGGAGGTTGGAAAAGTTCCACGGTGGCGGAGGGGTATTTGGAGGATAGCATCGAATTGAGAAATGAAACGGCGCGTATGTTGTCTACTTTGTCATCAGAAGAGGCAGGTACCTCGACTGTAGTGAACAAAAGCTCCAGCCATACAAAGGAAGAAATTGTTTCCAGTGGCGGAAGTAATTTTCAGGGAACATTTCAAAATTGTATATTTATTATTTATAATGACGTGAATAAATAAAATATGGTTCAGTTTTCATTTCCATTCATTTTTACTTGTGAAAGGTAGAGGGAATTATAAAATCTATAATGTCCCAAGGGAGTTATGACCCTCTTTATTGATAGCGTAACTATGACGATATAAGCTTATAATATCCCGGTCAGAAATAAAAACATTAATTCACCGTCATTCAACACCTAGTCTTCAATAATTGTATTCATTTCCATTTCAGCTCCTCAGCAAAGCTTGTGAACCCCCAACCAATGGCCACTCGGTGATTTCTGAGGCCATGTCCACGCTCAGACTAAGGTTCGGAGAACCTGTGCGGTTCCGGTTTCTTGTGGGTATGCTGAGCTCAGCAGGAGGTCAGGTTGAATTGCTGGCAGCGGGCCTAAAGTTTCTGAATAGGTTTCTCAATACAGCCGGATCTCCTCAACAACGGATATATCTACAAGCTGAGTTGGAACAAGGTAATAAAACAAGAACTCAAAAGGAGGTTTGTGAAATTTTTAATAATAAATACCCTGGTCAACACGTGTCGCAGTCTACATTTAGCAAAATTGTTTCGTGAAACTGGACATGCAAAAAATATTGAAAACTAGGTAGAAATATTCAATTAACTGATGAAGAAAAATTAGATGTACTTCTAGAGATTGAGGAAAATCCGCATAAGACAACTCGAGAACTTGCCGTCGACAATGATGTAAGTAAATAATCTATTTTGAGAGTTTTGCTTAAAGAAAAATACCACCCATACAAAGTTCAGTTGGTTCAGGAGTTAAATGAAGATGATCCTGATGGAAGGCAAGAATTATGTGAATTGATGATAGACAGAATGAACGCAGATTTGCAGTTCATGAAAAAAATAGTGTTTTCTGATGAAGCGACGTTTCATTTAAACGGAACAGTTAACAGACAGAACTGTAGATATTGAGGCAGAGAAAATCCTCACTGGATGTGTGCGACTCATACTCAATAGCCTAAAAAAGTTAACGTTTGGGCTGGTATCATTAACAATAAAATTATTGGCCTTAATTTTTTTGAGGGCACTGTTAATGGTGAGGTTTATCTAGATTGTTTGATCAACTTTTTAGTGCCTACATTACCAACACATTTTCCTGATGTTAATCATCCAAATGAGATTGATCGAACTATTTACTACCAACACGACGGAGATCCACCGTATTTTGCACGTACAGTTAGAAATTATTTAAACAAGGTTTTTCCCAATGGATGGATTGGAAGACGTGGAAAGATTGAATGGCCGGCTAGATCCCTCGATTTGACTTCTCTCGATTACTTATTATGGGGTTATTCAATATCTGAAGTATATTTTGATAGACCAAACAAAATAGCTGATTAAAAAGTTAGGATAACGAAAGAAATCAACAAAATAACCCCCGAGGTCATACAAAATGTTGTACGAGAATTCCAAAATCGCCTCGGTTATTGTCAAGAAGTTAATGATGGTCATTTTGAACATTTAATTTAATTGTAAAGTACATTGAAAAATACATTCTAAATATCATGAGACATTATTATCTTCATGCCACGTAAAGTTTTGTGATACCTAGAGAAATTATCAAAATTTGACATCCTAAAAATCAATTTTCTCAGTTATGATTGCACCAAACTGAAAAAGCTTTATAGCGCTGAACAGAGGACTAAATCCCTTTCCAACAAGGTGCCACACGACCCCGTTTGCTATTTAAAATTTTCGAGGGGGTGCTGATAATTCAGGAGGGGGGCTGGAGAGGGATAATATTTTCATACTGTAAATTGTCAATTTAAGGATAAAAATCGACCTGTTTCAGGTTTTTTTCACATAGTACATAATAACGCTAAAAATGAATTTATTCCATACATATGGACCGCAATGTATATAATAACGTCTTTATTATTTCCTCTTTTAATACATAAAAAAAAATCCTTTATAATATATTTAAGAAAATAAAGGGCGAAGTTCAACTCGGCAGCGGAGAGTGCTACTCTGTTGTTCTTCCACTCAACCCTGAAAAATACCTATGCGTATCTATTGAAGGATACAAAAGAACAATGTATAAAAAAATATTAAAAAATGTCTATGCAGTTTTTGGTGAAAGCGGCAGTTTTCAACCTTGTTATGTGAAAATAATGAATAAAACCTACTGATAAGTCCTGAACAAAAGATTTTTAAGTTGGGTTTTGAAAGTTTGGATACTTCCTGTTTTGAAATTTGGTGGGATGAGATTATATATCTTGCAAATCTGGTAACTAAACGACCTCTTGAAGAGTTCAGTTCTGAATGGGGGCGGGGACAATATTGATATTATGGACATCAGTGCGGAATGTTATTTTCTGATGAAGATAGGAAGGTCTTCCGGTTAGGATGATTTTATGAAAGAGATTTTCAGAATGTAAAAATCTTCTGTTTTCCATATTCAACCAACCCGTTTCACATATCTTGTTGGAAATTCTTTTTTTGCTTCCTTATTCCATATATTAACCGAAGGCAAGAATTTTGTACCTTCTGAATTTTTTGTTTATATTGGCTGGTTAAATTTGGTCCATATACAGAGTTCGCATAATTGAAATTAGATAAAACCAAGGTCTCGCAGAGTAAGGATTTCAACCTAATAGGAAGACATTGACGTACACCATATATAACTCGAACAAAACCTGACGTTTACATGTTGCTGGAATTTTTAGACACAGAAGTATTCCAACAATCAGCAGGACGCTTTCGGACAACAGCACGGCATACAACACTGCGCAGGACCACTACAAGGCTTCGGCACTTCACAAGGTATTTCAGGACAGTCAACGCAATCAGGGTCATCATCTGCACACTCCACGTACTCACCTGGAGGGCCGTAACTCATTTTGTGCACAGTATGATCATCCATCCTGAGCTTGGGCGGAACGAACTTAGGCCTCTGCGCCCAAGGCATGTCCATCGGCTCCGTGGGTTTCCAGGGCTGGTACGACATCTTTTGCACGGTTTTGTCACTGATTTTACCCGTGGCAGGACTGATGGCGTTAGTGGGGCGAAACGGAACGACCTTGGTTTTTTCCAGGTCAATCGGCATGTATGAAAGTCTATTCACAGTTTTATCACTCAAAGGACAGTCAGAAGAATACAAATTGGTGAAGGGTTTGACAGCAGAGGGTTTGACGTATGGTTTGGGAACATAATCATGCTTCTGGGTTGTGATGTCTTGCATCGGACCCTCACCCAACAGCTTGTGCTCACAGGGGTATATGGGGCAAGCAGGCTTCACTTTGTGGGGTTGGTAAGACATCTTGTTAACTGTACTGTCGGATATTTTGCCTTCACCCAAACAGAGGTTATTTTCCGGAACAATCTTGTCCGGTTTGTCAGTTTCCACCGGAATGTAAGACTTCCTATATATAGTGTTATCCTCCATTTTCATCTCGGGAGGTACGAAACTCCTAGCAGGGGCATAAGACTTTGGTCTTGGCGGTTGGATGTACTTACATTTCTTCTTCGGTTTCTTCGCCGGCTCAGGTTTACAAGGAGGAACGACTGGAACGCAAACATTGCAGCAAGGATTCTCTCCAGAGGGTCTGTTTGGGTCGCATGGGTTCACCTGATATTTTGGCAGATGGTCGGCGATCACTGGAAGGGTGCAGGGACAAGGGGGGCATGGACATGGTGGACACGGACATGGAGGACAACTGATGTTGGACCTTGACTGATGGTTAGTCGGCAGCGGGCCGCACGGTTGACACGAATCCATGTTTCAATCGAAGACAAACACAAAAATGAAATGATCTAATTTTGAATTGGACTAAAACGTCAAAACATTGTCAATCTTTGAATTTTGATCTGCTACTTGATTACCATGTCTACGTATATTGATGCGATCTGATGGAGCAATATTTCATATACAGCGTGTTCAGCATGAGTTGAAGAATGATTTTTTGATTTGATGCTATTTATCGTACCTATTATATTCAAAACATAGATTTGTATTGCTATAGTATAACGATGTCGTTAGGCTCCCCAATATACTGTCACTGACTGCATTGGCCTGGCAATCTTTGATAATTTCAACTGGTGTCATTCGACCAAGAAGAAGAATGAATAAGGAAATGGAGAAAGACCAAAAAGGAAAACGAATGAAGAGCATGATGGAAATGAAAATTAGAGAAAAGAAGAAGTTGCTGAAACAATTCTAACAACGAGATCGCAAGTGAAAATAAAAGCAGGTGAAATAAAAAAGTATGAATAAGACATCATTTGGTTAGGAGATATAAATGGGATATGGTGGATGTAGAAATGAAATTTGACGAGCCTGTTGAGGAAGAGACGAATGAAACATCGAAAAAACAGATGGGAAAACCTACGAAACAGATAGTTTTCCAGTTCCATGGAGACTGACTCGGAACTGATGGAAGTTTGGTGCCAAAGATGCTTGGTGCTCTGAATTTTGAATTTCACCAGTTTAGACTTCCATTGTCTACTATGATATAATATGATTTGTATTCTCTGAAAGAAGTATGGTTAGACAAAAAAATGAATAGTCAAAAATGACAATTATATTGAGAAATGAATACAAGAAAATGAGGATAAGCAAAAAACGTAATAACAAAAATTGAAAAGATCACTAACCAAGTTTCTTGACAACGTTTCGATTGTTAATATCCACAATCGTCGAAGACATGACTATTTATAAGTCATACGAATGCTTTCCCTCTTTCCTCTCTCCGCTTTACCGGTGTAGTGGGAATTGACCATTTTTCCGCTTGATGCGTCGTTATATAACATTTATGTAGCTCCTTTGAACTTTCTCTCAAACCAGTGTTCCTTCCTATAGTTGATGTCAGCTTGGGACCACTTGTTATGTTGTCCAAACATACTCTGCTACTTCCGATTTGTTGGTATGTTTCCCGTGTGTTTGGCAATGCGGACTTTTAAATGCCTCTTAGTTCAATCGATATGGGATTTTTCACAGTCACAGGCTATTTGGTAAATGCAATTTTTGGAATCTCAGTTCACAATTGGTGGCCTGGTTTTTGTGAAGCTGCTACGGATAGTGTCTCCGGATATGAAGCAGGTTCTGATTGTTGTACTTGGATCCAATTCTTCTTATTCCTTTTGATAATCCTCTGATGTAGGGAAGTGCAAGCACTGGTTGTGACGGCTTTTCTTCCTTGCTAGGCTCCTGATGTCTTTCAGTCAAAGTCTGTTCCACCATCGCTTTGGAGTAGCCATTCCGTTGAAGATTTTTTTTTGATGATGTCTAGTTCCTTCTCGAGGCCTTCCTTCGTATTACAGAGTCCGGAAGCACGGTCTAATAGGGTCTTGAGATGATTTCTCTTTTAGTTGATTGATGGTGGTTGGATTCGTGGTTCAGATACTGTCCCGTGTGAGTGGGTTTTCGGTGTACAGATGTTTTCCACTTAGTGTCGGTCCCCGTCACCAGTGCATCTAAGAATGACAATTCATTGTGGATTTTCTTCTCCATTGTGAAAGTGATGGAAGGTTTTACACTGTTGATGTGCTTCAGAAAGGCGTCTAGTTCAGTATTCCCATGGTTCAATATTATGAAGGTGTCGTCAACATATCTCAACCAGACTCGTGGTTTCTTGTGGGCTTCATCAATGGATAGAGCTCCAAACCATTTGTTGGCGGTGTCATTCTTTTTCGAGTTTGAAAGCCGTGGATTTTTGGAATTTCTTCCTGACGTTTCACTGGCGCGAGTGGCTAGCTTCGTCAGAGGTTTAACCATGATGGCTTACTGCCCGATGACTGACATCGGACATTACCGTAGATGATGATGTCCGATCTTAGGGCTGAATTATTGATAAAATCAAATTTCAACAAACTTTTATTTTCTGCTCCAGCCTATTATGGTTTCTGTTTATTTTAACATTTCTTGCGTAGGTTCTGCAAATGTTGTATTATTTGCACGGTTATATTTCCCATCGTTGAATTATTAGATGATGCAAACAATCGATTATTATTCCATATTTACCTCCACTTGTCAGTGATCAACAGTCAATTATCTAAATATTAGGATATACTGAAACAAGCTGCTGTTTACTTTGGTCGTTAAAACCACTAAGAAAAAATCATGATTATCAACAAACCTTCACTTGTCTTTTCAGCATACCCACTTCGCGATTACATAACACACTTCGCTTGATCACATACAAAAAAAAAATTCTCGTCTCGCATCATATTTCCAGTCGAATTGCCTTTCTGAGAACTGAATAAGATAAGTAATTAGTCAAACAATGTGATACGTTCACATTGGATATTCTGATGTTCATTTACATTCGTAATTTCATATGTTAATATTCTTGAGGTGTTTGAACTCTTTGCCATAACGATGAACTCATACAAAGTAACGCATCACTGATGTTTTTCATTCAGGAAAAAGAGCACTGTGTCCGACTCCACATCATACATTCTGTAAGTGAGTCGTAAGTCTAAGTAAATCGTTAGTGTGGCAGTCATAGCAATAATCATGTATTTTTTTCTCGTAATCTAGTTTATATTGATATTGAACAAAGCTATTTTTTGAATGTTTTGACCGTTATTCGAAAGCTTGTATACCTGACGTTTTGTCTACAACTGCGCTTGTACATTATCAATAGCCAGCAGGCAGTGAACGAAGCGTTTTTATATTCCTCAGAGCAGTCACCACATAATTGGTTTGGTCATCCAATGATGGTGGTCGTGGATCCGTTCTTCTTGGTTGAACTGAATGACGTGATAGGACGACAATTGAGTGCAGGTTGAGTTAGGTTAGGTCGGAAGTGAGTAGATCTAGACGACTATCCACCGCAACCTGCAAGGGTTTATTGTGACTCACAACTATTCACACTCCACCAAACAAACCCAGATTCCCAACGAAGCCAATTAATTTATATGCTGAGTGATTTTTCAGGTCAGATGGTTCGCCTGCGGCTCTGCTAAACTCTGAAAAAACCTGATTTGGTCCCCAGCAGGGCGGGCACAAAGCATGTGTCCTGCTGTTTCATCATTTTCCAAACGGAGGCGACACACATTGTCTTCCGACAGTCCAAGTCCCTGCAAATGACAGTGACATTTTTAAAGCCTGTAAGACATCGTAGTTCATCCCTTCTGTAGTCCAAAAACTGTTTGGTTTCAAGCTTCGAAGTATAAATGAACATCTAGGAGTGAGCCAATCCTGGAAGATTATGCCAGAGATCCATAAATTGTCTTGACATCTCAGTGTCAATGTTTGCGATGCTAATGACAGGTTCTGGTCCAATGAAGCTGCTTACAGCACTCTCCTTCGCAAGGGAGTCAGCAGGTTCATTGCCTTTCAGGCCAGGAATCCGTCAATTTGCTACCAATTCAGACGTTGATCGGTAGGAGCAAAGAGCTTTCAACGCCGCTTGACTGTCCGAGAACATTTTCATTGACCCATGCATGAGATTGGTATCTACCAATCTGTCCGCATACAATTCAAAGGCATAGATTTACGCTTGAAATACAGTCGCATAGGATCCTAGGCAGGTTGATATAACTGTCCTGGGTCTGCGACTGATTACACCTGCACCAGAACCTAAAGATATTTTTGATCCATCTGTGAACCAATAACTATCTGCTCTTAATATTTCCTTATCCTGGAGGATCCACTCTTCTATACAGTTGGAGGCATAATGTCAGAGGTCATTTCCAAATTGCTGTGATTGTTAGTGTCAATCAACAGTCTATTTTACTCTACATTAGATTGATTTATGCAACTGGCGATCTGCACAAGTCTACATGTAGTCCATCTAGCCTCTCTCTCTCTCTAGAATCAGATTTGATGAAAGTTACTACCCTTTTCCCTGTGTTCGACATGTTAGACAGCTAATATCAAGTATAGCCTCGAATTAGGTATAGCGCAACACGTGTTTCTCCATACAATATACCATTCCATTGCATGCATCTTCATTGTTTGCCTATTTATAGTTTCGTTCAAGAATTCGTCGCAGATCCATTGGACGGTATTACCCTTCTTCTGGACCTACTGAGAGCCATCCAACTGAGCCAATCTAACAATGGTCATCCGCAGCAGTGTTCCACCAACACAATCACGAGACTTCCTCCAGCCGTCCAGAGAAGAACCCTCCTGGACGAGCTGTCTTGCTTGCAGTGCCTCCTCAATTGTTGTTTGCGTTATTCGGAAGCAGTTAGGAAGTTGACGTCTTCTTCTGCGGGCCTCTTCACGCTAACCATTTGCATAATGAGTAACGTCAATAAGTCTCGCATCATAGCTTTGCAGGTGAGTAACGTTTAAACTATTCATTACTAGAGCCATAGACTTTCGCGGCCAAGGTTTTCAGTGTCACAATTTTTCGGGTTTGAAGGCCGAAGATTTATTGGAATTTCTTCCTGATTGTTGTCGCGAGTGGCTAGCTTCTTCAGATGTTTATAGATCCTGAGTTAATCTCCGTTCAGTTTGAGTAGAGATGGCTCATTAAACCAGAACATTTAGAGGAAGCGCTGGTACCTTGAGTGGAAGTTCCAAGTGAACCCGGACTCAGGCGATAACTATGGTAAAAACGATATCTTCTCCGGCTAGGAAAGTGAGGATCTCTGGAAGGGAGATCAACATACAGGCGCAAGTAAAGTACCTCGGTCTTCTAATACATCATAGGCTCACCTGGAACCCGCACTTTATAAGCGTGAAGGCTGTGATCGAGGGTCGGGTGGCAAGCCTGTACTCTCTGATGAGTAGACGATCAAAGTTAAGCCTTTAAAACAAAGTTACGATCTACAACACGATGTTCAAGCCTGTCATCATGTATGCTTCAGGCGTCTGGGGACAAGCGGCTCCGTCCAACATCTCCATTTTGGAAACTTCACAAAACAAAATACTACGGATGATTGTGAATGCTCCGTGGTTCATGCGGAACGAAGCCATCCGCAGAGATTTGCAGCTGCCTTCCATTCAGTAGGTCATCCAGTTGAGGAATCGGCGAGTTTTAGATTGTGCGGAAACTCACGATAACCCGTTAGTCAGGGAAGCTATAGATTACGCTGTAGACGATCCCTCTCGATATAGAAGGCCCCGACACTCTGTCTAATGAGGCCCTCATGTCTTCCGTTAACAGATGAATAATATCTTCATCCATCTCACCCCAGCCAGGTAGGGGTACACCGCGAAGGGCGGTACTAATGTCTGAGGACAGTCATGCCACCATCACTGATAAGTTAAAACCCATTCATCTCTCTGACGAAAACCAGTCCAAAGGGTAGAGAAGCAAGGCTCCAGCCTGAAAAAAATCAAGGCAGAGGACGTGCAGGATGCAATGAACCTGATATCAACAGAGCCATGAAACTGAACAACTCCAAGGTTCAAAACGGGAAAGAGGTTCAGATGGTTGCACGCGCACATCTACCATATATCCCTGGAGTTACAGAGATAATTGGAGAACTTTTGAGAAACCACAACATTGAAAAGGTTTCCAAACCCACCGAGTAGAAAAAACAAAGCCTCAGGTTGCCTATAGACAAAAGAGAGCCACCTTCAGCAGCAGGGGTGCACGCATACAGCGTACAATTGTGAGAAGGTATACATACGTATCACCAAAAGATCCATGGAAACAAGTTTGGAGGAGTATGGAAGAAACTGCAGACTAGGCCAAACGGACAAGTCAGCTGTGGCGGTGGATCTCCTCCAACCAGGGATATCTTAGCCGACTGGTAAGGAAGACACTAGAGATCCACGAAGACATGGATAATTCCAACAGAAAAGAAGAAGCTGTGAACCTCAACCGAATATGGGATTCCATTCTGAGAAGTACAAGAATAGCAAACAACATGAAGACAGGTAGGAAGGGGTCGACGAATGTTATTGTCAATTAACTTGATCCGGATACAAGTATCAACTCACCAGATTACCTGAGTTAACATAAACTTGCTTTTAGCAATCCAAGTACAGGTAATTGCACACCAAATTACCTGAGTCAACATAGACAGACAGACATTTTTATTGATCATAAAATCACATCCACGCTCAGACTAAGGTTCGGAGAACCTGTGCGGTTCCGGTTTCTTGTGGGTATGCTGAGCTCAGCAGGAGGTCAGGTTGAATTGCTGGCAGCTGGCTTAAAGTTTCTGAATAGGTTTCTCAATACAGCCGGATCTCCTCAACAACGGATATATCTACAAGCTGAGTTGGAACAGGCTGGATTCGATATTGTTACAATAAAGAAGGTAATAGTGTGTCAGAAGTATATTCAACGCAATATACAGGGTACAGTGCTATGACCGTTGGTTAGCCGTCTTTTGGAAAGTAATAGGATTCATTTCCTGAACATTTAAAAATATAGGTTTTTCAAAATGCTTTTCAATATGATCATACTGGATCACTCTTCATCAAACTGTTATTTACAGCATGACTAGGGCGTTGAATAATAATAATAAGGGCTAAGAGTGCTATATTACCATCAACGGCCCTCTTACGGTATTGACGAGACACCGGTGATGCTCTATGCTTCGGAGGATATTGAATCCGTTGTGAGAAACGAGTAGTGCCTAATTTATTGGAACTACCCCTCAGGTGGAGAACGAATAGTTCCAATGAATGATGAGATAACAGACGAAGAGCTCGGGTTGTTCTCACAGTAGATACTATACAGGGTGTAACTAAATAAGTGTAAGACATTTAAGGAGGTGATTCCTCATCGAAAAAAAGATAGGATCTTTCATATAAAGAAACTTCATTGGAGCATCCCTTGTTAAGATACAGCCCCTTAAAGGGGTACATGAAATTTGTACAACAATTTTTTCACAAGCACTAAAAAAGTTACAATATTGAAATTAACCTGACGTTTTGTACTACCAAAAAGACACTAAGTCAGTAATTCATCTGGTTTACCCCATGGTTGCAAGGGGTGGAAAACGCAACCCCTAAAATTTATTCCCAATGTAACTTTTTGTCTTATTTGTTTACCATTCAAAAATTTATTTCCGATAGCATGTTTCATTCTAAACAAAAAATGTCTCTGTGTTTTTTTGCCCAAAATAAACCAGTTCGCTGCAAAAAATTATTTTACGAACAACTACAGAGATACATCGTCATAAATACGAAAATACGAAACTAATCTATCTAGTAGGTCGCTATTAGCGATAGTGACAATTAAATTGGTATGACGCTGTCAGTTTGTGAATTTTTGAAATTGAATTGATACTAATTGTGTGTTGTTGTTCTGTTCTCAATTTGTTACTTTAATAATTCACTTGTTATTAAAATGGCATACACAAATGAGGAAATGGCTGATATGCATTACGTTTACGGTCTCTCACAGGGGTTAGAAGCTTCTAGAAGATATGCCGAAATATATCCTCAACGGCAGCATTCTTCACGTAGAATATTTGCTCGACTTCATCAACGATTACGAGAATATGGTTTCATTCGACAAAAAAACGCAGGATTGTGGTCGCCATTGAGAAGTACGATCAACACAGCTTGAGGAAGCAGTACTTAATTTGATTGAGGAACAACCTACTACCAGTCCTAGAAAGATTGCTTTCCAGCTTAATGTTGATCATATGACGGTATTTCGAATTTTAAAGGAACACCTCTTATTCCCTTACATTTGCAACGAGTACAGGCACTGTTACCGCGAGACTTTCCGAACCGTCTTGAATTTTGCAATTGGATGCTGGAAACGATTGAAAGAAATTATGACTTTCTGAAGACGATAGAATTCACAGACGAATGTAGTTTTTCTCGGGACAAGATTATTAATTTTCATAATTACCACATATGGGCTGATGAAAACCGTCACGATATTGTCGAAACTAACCATCAAGAACAGTTTTCTCTTAACGTGTGGCTCGGAGTTATTGGGGATGATATAATAAGGCCTCATTTTCTACCTCCTCAATTAAATGGTGAGGTATACGTTCAATTTTTAAGAGAAGTGCATCCAGTACTGCTGGAGAAAGTTCCTTTCGGCGTCAGAAGGGATATTTTTTTATGCATGATGGGGCTCCCGCCCATTTGAGTCAAGTAGCACGTCAGCATTTAACTGTGGATCAGTGAATAGGCCAAGGATAGGTAAATCAGTGGATAGGTCGATTCCCGGATCTCAATCCTCTCGATTTCTCTATTTGGGGCCATTTACAGCATTTGGTTCATCGTACTCCTGTTCGCGATGTAGAGGACTTGAGAAACCGCATCATCGATGCGTGCAGGGTAATCAGAGAGACTCCACGAATATTTGAGCGAATACGTGGCTCAAAGCGCCGACGTCTAGACGCTTGCGTAATGTCTGAAGGTAGACATATTGAACATTTACTATGATTTCTACATGTTGTGTGTTTTGTTATTGAGAAATTAGTTTTGTTATTGGAAAATTAGTTTTGTTTATTACCGTTATTCGTTTAATGCAGGTACTAACTACAAAATAACAAATCCAGTTCAGATTTATGACGATGTATCCCTGTAGTTGTTCGTGAAATAATTTTTTGCTGCGAACTGGTTCATTTTGGGCAAAAAACCCAAGAGACATTTTCGTTTAGAATGAAACAGGCTATCGGAAATAAATGTTCAAATGGTAAACAAATAATAAGACAAATAGTTACCCTGGAAATAAATTTTAGGGGTTGCGTTTTCCACCACTTACAACCATGGGGTGAACCAAATAAATTACTGGCTGAGTGTCTTTTTGGCGGTACAAAACTTCAGGTTTATTTCAATATTGTAACTTTTTCAGTGCTTGTGAAAAAAATTGTTATACAAATTTATGTATCCCTTTAAGGGGTTGTATCTTAACAAATGATGCTCCAATGAAGTTTCTTTATATGAAAGATCCTATCTTTTTTTCGATGAGAATTCACCTCCTTGAATGTTTTACACTAATTCAGTTACACCCTGTATTATTGGAATTCATCCTGGTTATGTTTGTAATCAGATTCTGAACACTACTATTGTCAACCACGAGGTTTTGATCCTGAAATTAAAAACATTCGGTTTTACAAACAACACACTTGATTTCTTTCACTGCTATCTATCCAAAAGAATACAGTTCATACAGTTCAACAACGTATCTTCTTCCATCAAATTGACCGCTACTTCGAGAGTTCCGCAGGGATCTATTTTGAAACCTCTCCTTTTCGTGTTATTTATTAATGACGTTTCTCAATTCTCAATTTCTCCTATATGCCGATGATCTCAAGCTGTTCAGAAGAATCGAAAACGAAAATATTTTGATATGCTTCAAGATGATCTCAATAATCTATCTACTTACTTTTCAGTATCTGATCTATGTCTCAACGAAGCTAAATGCGAACTGATGAGTTTCACACGAAATATGTCACCTACTATCAAGGACTATTTCATTAATCATACCAATTTACAGAGAATCAATGAGATGAAAGATATCGGGATCATTTTTACTGGTGTGTTCAGTTTCTCTGGGCACATTGAATACTTAGTATCTGAATGTTATAGAAAATTGAGCTTTATCTTAAGATCTAACAGTGAATTCAACCACGATACTTGTTTGTTACTCTTTAACTCCATTGTTCGTTCTAAGCTGGAATATAGTTGTGTTATTTGGAATCCAAAGACCGTTTTATATTCTGAAACTATAGAAAAAGTCCAGAAACGATTATTAAGAAAACTTTTTTTTAGAAAACACAATGTTTGGCCTTTATTTATATCGTATTCTAGCCAATTACAAGAGTTTAACATACAACCATTGAAAGACCGCCGTGAGTCCTCGGAAGTGATCTTTGTTTTTACCATTCTTGAAAAATTGAAAGTACCTGAAATTTTCTATACTATTGATTTCATTGTACCTCTCGTAAGACAGGTAGAAGAGGCAATCTAACTCGTATCTCAAACACTTTGTCTCCTCTTCAACAATGTCTCGGAACAGTTAACAAAATGGCGAGGAACTATGAACTGGATATATTCAGTATTACAGAGGGACAACTCCTCCGAATGCTCAAATGTGTCTGAATCTTTTTACGGCTATTTTATTATTTACTGTTTTATATTGTAATATTCTATATAGATTTTTAACTGTATCAATGGTACTCAATGAATAATATATGTAAATACTTAAAAAAACTGTGCATCATGTAAGTGGAAACCATTCTGTTTGTTGTTCAGTATAAATAAATTTCTATTCTATACAAAACATACACCAACTATAATCATAAATAGATCTTGGAACCTCAGGCGTGAAATGGATCAATTGTAGACACTTTTGCCGCACCAGAACAAAATGCAGACTCTCGACGCACGTCTCAAAGACTAAGTAAGCATCATCAGGAAATGACTGAAACTGATGATGATGCTAACTTTCAAAACGTGACGTGCGTCTAGAGACTGAATTTTTGTTCTGATGAGAGAGAAGCGTTCTAGAATGATCAGTATGAAACTTGTAATTTGGTGGAGTGGAACTGACAACTTTGTTTTACAGAATATTGGCTCCAGCAGTAATTGCGAACTTGTTTTCGATGAGCTCGACTTGTGGGAGAAACACTATATCGATATTGAGAGTTTGACGTTACGAGTGGAGAGATCCCAGAAAGAAAACGACAATCTGAAAGGCAAACTTTCCCTTCTGGAACAGAAAGTCCAAGTGAGTGCTCTTGGAAATGAACAATTTTGAAAACCTCTTCGAACGAATACAATATAAATTAGTCGATTAGTCTTTTCAGTTTTTTGATCCGCACATATTGAATTTTCTAGGTACTACAAGAAGAAAAAGGGATTCTCATATCGTTGGACCAATGTCTGAGAGACAAATGCAGTGAGCTACGGGAAGAAGTTCAATCCCTCAAATCTACACGATCACTTGAAATTCCAACACACAGATCCAAAAATCATGGTGAGCATACTTATCCATATTATCATTCTGATTTATGCGAAATATACTAAGCTACTATAGGAATGTAGGCGATGACGAAATAAAACACCTAACAACTGTGTTACAAGTGAACAGCTACGACAGAAAAGACATAATCTGCGCTACGCGACCAAGGAAGAAGAAGAGGAACACCAGTGAAGAACAAACTGAAGGCACTGCCATACATAGAAGGTGTCACCAAACGAATCGGGATAATTTTAATGAAGGAGAAAATCAACACCGTCTTCAAACCGACGAAGAAGATATCTGAGATCAGCAAAAGACAGCAGAGATCAGCAGAGGCAGCAGAGATCCACTCAGATCGGCAGGAGTCTACAGGATTCTATGTGAATATGGTGAAGTTTATGTCGGTCAGACGAAAAGAAGCACTGGTACCTGCCCAGCATAAGTGGAGCTGCCGATTGGGGCAGACCAAGGAGTCTGCAGTCGCTAACAGGTACTGTCCAACGGGGAACACCAGATCCTCTTCTAAAATACCAAGAAGCTAGCAACATCGAATCATCATGCAATAAGAATGTATTTAGAAGCCATAAAAAAACACAAACACCAAGAGAACTTCAACAGAAAGAAAGAGAGAACGTATCTACCAAGTATCTGGCACAAGGCAGGAAAAGTCGCCAAAAACGAAGCATTGTCGCCCAAATCGCGCGGAAAGTTCGCACAAACCCTCCATTACAGGAAATAAATGAAAAATCAGCACTATAAATGAAATGGCAAGACGAGTACTTAAGATGACTGAAATTGCAGTTGGAGTTCCAGTTGAATCGTTTAGAGATTGTAACCAAAGGAGACCAAGGCAAAACCCGAAAACAAACCAAAAATACGTCATTTGCGAAAACATGAATAACTCAGTAAATTTTTTCAAATATTCTGCTGGGATATGGTGGAGTTCTGTATCTGTATCTGTAGAGAGGATGAGTGTAAGCCCACAGCACTGAGGTCACATTGTACATCCTCCCGAGAAGTTGTCTTCCTAGGTCTCTCATTGACGATAACTCTGGGCACTCGCATAGGACATGCCTGACATGTCTCGCATAGAACATGCCTTCCTATTCACACATCTTGCATAGAGGTGTGTCCACTAGCATCATATCATGAAGGCGTTTCCTTAGTTGACAGTGGCCAGTCAGTTATTTTTTCGGCGTGAGCTTCCCAGGGTCACCCAAGGTGATCCTGGCAAAATCGCATTCTTTGATTTCATCCCATCTTTTCAGGGATTGAACATGGGTGTAACATTTAGCTAGATCTGCAATTTTCGAGAGGCCCTAGAAGCCACTGGGTCTTGAAATTCTTAGTCTAGTCGCTTCCTTGGCTAAAGAGTCGGCAATGCGATCACCTTCACTCCTGTCGTGCCCTCTAACCCGCTTTAGAATACTTTTATTTTCTACCGAGGCTTTGGCTGAATCTTGGTGATACTCTAGTACTAGCCCTGAGGTTACACGTTGTCTGTTCAAGGCTAATAAGGCTTGTCTGCTGCAGTGCATATAGTTATGTTTTTCCCAGAAATTCCTTTCCTGGTTATTTCTTTTATGGCTATTGAGATACCAGCCAGTTTTGTTTGAACCACGCTGGTATTTTTACCCATTCCCCACTTAATCCTAAGGCTTAGTGATCTGGAGTTCACTCCACATCCTGAGCCTACTTTGGTTTTTGAGCCGTCTTTATATATGTGTATTGCATTTGTAGCATCTGACTTTGTGTTCTGTTTTATTTGTATTTTTTAGAGTTTATTAAACACAAAGCTGGGTTTTATTGCATCACTAGCTGCCTGCAGCAGAGGTTGCGCATCAAGCGCTTCTCGCCATAGGCTCAGCTTCAATTGATCCTTAACGTACAGGTCCAGAGGGGTCAGACCCGTAATTGATTCCATTCCCACGTTTGGTTTTTTCTCATGGCTCCTGTGATGTTTAAACAAGTCATTCGCTGTATTTGATATAATTTTTGGATGACTGTTGCTTGTAGAACTTTCGGTCCCCATTAAATGGCTCCGTACGTTAACATAGGTCTTATTATTGCAGTGTAGATCCAGGTGACCACACATGGTGAAAGACCCCATTCGCGTCCCACTATCCTCCGACATTGCTCCTAAGCCATATATTATGCTCTTTTTGCTCTACTCTGTAGGTGAGAGTTCCATGTCCGCTGGCTGTCGAGGATAGTACCAAGGTATTTCACCTCTTCAGAGAAGTTAAGCTTGCTTTCAGGGAGGTTTCAAGCTCGATAAACTTTTTGTCCTGGTGGAGTTGTCACAGTACACAGTCATAAGACCTCTGGACCAGATTATGTTAAATAAATGTAGGAAATATCACATCCGAAAACACGTTATACAAAACTGTACGCAGATCCTTTTGTCGTGCTAGTGAAATTGAGTTATAAAACGATATTACAGCAAATTCCAGATGAAAATTGGTATAAACGGTTCTTGTACAAGTCCAGATTTCAAGAAATCACAGTGAACCATCTTGACTTATTCATTTCAGGTTGGAATTCAGTTTGGTGCCTAACAATTCACACAAATTTTCCATTGTGATATTGTTCTCTTTGACAAATGAGTTGTTCGACTCATATTCACTGTTTTGTTGTATTTTGAAGAGTTGTCATTGAGTTTCATCATTATTGAAAGTCAACTCACTATTTCTGCTTCGTCAAAGCATCTATTTTTGGTTCCTAGAAAACAGAATTGTATCATCAGCATAGTTATAGATACCATCTGATAACTGTCCCTTATCTCCAGACAAATATTTAATAGAAATTATGGAAAGTAAGAAGGAAGCAAATAATGCTGTCTGAGAAATGAATAGCTTCATCTGAGCAGCTGCCGGAAAGATAGCTCGATTGCCTTCTTTCTTCAGAAAAACTCTTGGTCGCCTCCCTTCAAGGAATTTACCCCACCCGTAAAAAGATCATTTCACCGTACTCCATGTTTGGTCAACTTTTCATAAGCAGCGAGTGATCCAAGCAGTTGAAGACCTTGAGGTGGTCTACAAAGAGTCTAACAGCCAGATAACTCTTCTCCAAAACCTACACAACCTTTTTTACATAATAAAAAAATGGTAGTTGACACATTCTTCAAAAAGCAATTCTGAAAATTATTCAATAGCCAACCAATCTACTAACAATGTGATGAATCGAAATTGATCTGAACAATATTATTGTTAATGTATTGCTTTTCATTCGTTCATGCCTTGTACTGATATACGATTCTTCTGTTTAGTCAGTTTTGACATATTCAATATTCATTTCAGTTGACTCCACTCCTGATGACGAAGGAATCTCCTCTTCAGAGCGCACTCCAACCCCAGAAGAAGAAATCCAACACTCCAACTCGATGTTTGAGATATATGGCACCCGCTGCAACGCTATTACCTCACATCAAGGCCTGGAAGTACAAGATTCGGATGACGAAACAACCATCGAAGATGTTATACAAGAGCTCAGAGATATTATAAGCAACGAGGAGTCCGGAACCTCCAATAAAGAGAACTCAAATCTGTGCAGAGACATTGAAGAGAATGGGTCGATGAAGAAATCTGGAAGAATCCAACGCCGGATGGATTTGGACGATTACGCCCTCAGTAGCGATTTCGAAATCGTTCCTTCCAATTTACTGCCTAAGCCTCCCAGGAAAACTCGAAGTCTGCTTCATCTGTTCATACCGCCGGAGGATTATGAGTACGGCAACAAGGAACTGTTTTTCGATAATGGCTCCTTAACCTCAGATAGTTCTTTTTCCCCCATGAGTGTGTCGAAGTACTGCCAAACTACTGTCGAGAATAAACAGTCAGAAGCACCACAGATGAAGAAAGTAGCTACACTGTCAAAGAGGCAAACGTCCAGAACGAGTGTCAAACGGACAGAATCTTTCAGGCATTTACCCAACGCACTGGTGAAGACAAGTAATGAAGGATTGGACTTCCACAGCAACACCCAAATAACAAGTCATTCAGTGGAACAGCAAACTCTGCTCAACAACACATTGGACAGAACGAAATGCAAGAGTTTGGACAGAATAGGAGACGGCCTTGAGACTTTCGTTGATATTATCGTCACAGCGGAAACGAAATCATCCCCCTTTCGTTCCAAGAGCGATTCTGGCAACGTTTCTGGCACTTCCATCTGCAGGACTATGTCCACTGTTTTTGTGAATAACAAAGCAACTCTCAGTAGAAAAATGAGTACACATTCAGAAGACAAACAGAGGATGTTCTTGCCATCTCAGGATCAGAGCGAAGTACTGTATTATTTTCCTAGGATACAAGAGAAGAGGAATAACAGCAGTGCCAGTTTTCTACTCAACAGAGGATATAGTAACGCAGGGTTGTATTCCGGACATATTAATGATGACCATCATTCGTACTTCTCAAGAAGTAAGGAAATAGTTGGTAGCGATTGTAGGAGTTCTGGTAAACTCACAGATTTTCCATCAGGTTTATATTGAACCTGCTGAGAATGTCTGAGGATCATTATCTATATAATTTTGAAGGTTTCACGAATTTTGTTATATAGGTTTTCAATAATCAAAACTTACTATTAGATAGTATTCGAGACTCTATCAAAATGGTTAACAAACTGTTTGACTGCATACTCCCAAGTCTAAAGGCAGTAGCTAGATAAAGCTTCCTGAGAAACTGAGTCATTCCGCCACACATACGGAGTTAGTGATATGATTAGTAAAGTACCAGCCAGTTGCTACAGTACAAATAGTTGCTATGTTTCGTAAGGAAGGCCCTTTATGATTCAAAAACCTCTAGTTATATCGAGAATAGTCTGAACAGCATGAAAACCCAGATCAACATCTAACACAGACAATACGGACTGACTCAAATATTGAAATTGGCAGTAGCTAATCATGTTTTTTGAATGAGGACGGTACTTATAGTTTCAGGGCTGCCTTTTTTTCTGTCACCCACTCATGGTTCATAGAATCTGGATAAATCCTAATTTGTAACATGGAAAATAAAAGAATTAAACCGTTCCACGACCAAAAGACAACCTCTCATCGCAACATTGAAACTAGAACCAGTCACATTCCACAAAATCAATCTGCTCATCATTAGATTAGATTCTCAAAGATTCACTACAACCTATTCAAATCTATTGTGATGCTCCTTGGTTGTTGGAGATCATTGTCTAGCTTGATCTCTTTAATGAGACTCCATAGCCTTGCCATTGACCCCTTCGAATAGCAGACAGCCTCTGGTTTCCCACATCTTGCGTGTCTCAGCCTGGCTATCGACGGAAACTTCATGGTAGGTGCTCATTGGGTTGCGACAAAAATATCCTGGACGAAGGACAAAGAAGTCGATGAAAAGTGAAAGCTGATATTCTTTCACTCACTTTACAGTGAAGAATGCATTCTTTAAAGTTGTTTGGAGCAGCAAAAAAAACTGGTGCTTTCCAATGGAGACAAAAAGGCTATTGGAACTATTTTGGATATCAACATTCTCGTCAGCTAAGGAGTTTTAAAGGAGAACTCCACTCTTCCTGAAATTATTGGACTCAGAAAGTTGTGAGGCTTCCTGTTTCTTTCAAGGTAGTGAATGATTTTTCATTCTAATGATACAGAACTTCAATTTGATCAACTGCTCAGTATAACAACACTTTCAACTTCAAATGAAGTGGAATTTTGATGAGATACATCATCTGAAAGAATCAATCAGTTGACCATGAAGTTGTTCAACTCATTTTTAAAACATCTGCATATTTTTTGAACGTATTCGCCATTGCTCCTCAATTTTTCTTTTTCTGGTTGTCCACTGTTGGAGAAATAATTGTGCATATTTTCCCGAATAAACAAATACCAATATATGTTGGAGGGCTCTTTTTTCTACCATTATGAGTGTGATTATATTAGTTCTTTCGCCGAACAGATGTGGTGATCACATATATAGTATTCCCAATACCAATTGGAACAGCACAGAGAAGGAATTCCCGCCTCGACATAGGCGTCGGCATATTATTTTTCAGCGGTAGTTTTTCAGTTACTCATTCTTACAATCATAGCAATTGATCACCCCATGAAGTAATTTAAACCAAATCATTTCCAAGGTTGGTACTTCATTTTTTTGGTATATACCATAAATTGTTCGCCGAATCACATCTTTTGTAGCACCATCTACATTTGCGACATATTCTATTCACAATAGCGTTCTGTGGAGTGTGACAGTTTCCCTTCTTCAAGCATTCAAGCATATTTAAAATTACTCGCTGAACTTGAACCTGTAAGTCCTTATTTTCAAATTCCGGATCACTGTCGATTGACACAGATTTCTCACACGTAATGTTATCATTTGTTTCAAAAGGTTTCCAAACACTAAGATTTTCACAAAAATCGGTTTAAACAATGAGATTGGAACTTTTGGTGTAAAAGTTGAAAACTTTTTCTAGACAGCAATTACCCTAACACCAAATTGATATTTTTGCACTCGACGCGCGTTTCGCTAACAAGGATAACATCTTCAGGAGAAGCAAATTGACACTGAATCTAAAGACAAGAGTTAGCTGTTCATATACCTAAAGTTTTTTGATCCGATGTGGATTTTGTTGAATAATGATTATCCTAATTGATTTTTTGGTGATTAACTAGTGAAACCACTACCTGAAAATTGATTTGTCCGCTTTATAATCTATTGTTAACAAAGTAATTTACAGGTAGTGGTACCACTAGTTTTAACGTCAAGACTGTATACTGATGAATAAAAGCAAAACAAAATCAATGACATGACAACACGATACTGAGAATGTGAATTTCTCAGACCGAAAAACATATAGCATTTGTTTGCTCATTGAAATTGGTCAAGGGTTAAAATTCGTCGACTAAAATCACTAACATTATTGAAAATCACGTGCAGGTCAAACTGTTTCACTTTTAAAATGTTTCGGTGAACAGAGTTGCTGTAATATAAGTTGTAGATGAGTGTGATGAATGGAATTATAAATGGTTTGGGAGTTGTTTTTAAAAAACGTTTCTTATGATGTTATAGCTGTAATGACAAATTTCCACCAAACGGACACCACAACAAAACAACAACTGTGTTGTGTTGATTTCGACAAAACAAAAAGTTGAGTTGTCAAAATAAGGAACATTAGTCGCGGAGGATTATTTTGTCAACAATGAAATGTCCCGTCGGTAGGCGGAAAGATCAAAAAGTTTAGGTGTTTTGTCTGTGTTTTTGTAAACTGAGTTTGCTACATGAGACGGTCGGTGAGATTATTACTTCATTCAACTGAGACTCAGACTAGTTTCTGCCTGTTTGTTTTTGAAACTAAACAAGTTTTTTGTTTCTGTTTTTAAAAACTAGTCGCAAGCGAGTCCGTTCGGTGGAAATCCATCTTGATACCTTGTGTTGAGAGAAATTATTGCATAGACAATAATGATCAATTCACTTTCTAAGCATGATGCGTGCAATAAATTTTTTTTCAGAAAACTAGTGGATAAGTGTATTTTTTAGAGGCTCATACATGTATGCACTTTAGGAAGTCCTAATGTATATAAAGAAAAATTATAGTCTAATCAACAAGTTCAAGAACATTGAAAATAGAGATAAAGGTCCTGAAAATATGAGCGATAGCTCATTCGATTCGGAATCACCTCTAAAAAAATGTTTTTGAAGGATTTTGATGCAGATAAAAAATTGCAACTGTTATTAACGAAATAAAATTTAAAAAATGGTATATAGTTTTACGTTAATAACTCAAGCAATTTTGAAAAAATAGGACCTTTATCTCTATTTTTCATGTTTTTGAACTTGTTGATTAGACTATTGATTATGATTCATGATCTCTGTAAATGTTGTAATGTATTTATTCAAAATTGATATCATGAGACTCATGATTGTTTTGTAGCTATTTTCTGGACATTTTTCACTGTGTAGTACTAGAAATTTTTATTATAAAGAATATACAGTTAGTCAGTGTATGGGTTTTATTTATCTGTTATATCTACATAATAGATCTATAATTAAAGGAAGAAGTCAACAATTTCAAGTTAGCATAAGTAGGCATGAGAAATACAAGGTGAAATAATGAAACTATGAAAAATATAGTGAGATCCAACTATGTACATAAGTTTCATGTATCTTAGCTTACTTGCATTTTGGATATTTCAATCTGGAATGCCTGAATCTCAATAATGAAATGATCTCTCCATTGAAAGCCAAACCACTACATCCAAAACTGTTCTAGATATCCACAGAGATATTCGCAGAAGTGTCCAATTAGAAAAATAGGTGTCAAGCAAGGGACCTCTCCGGAAAATATGTTTTCTTCAGAAAATCATTACAAGGATTCATGTTGTCCTGAATCGCAAACTCGACATTTTCACGTTCGAATGGTGATTTTTCAAATCCATTTGGAGACTTTTATGTTCTTATTTTCAATGAAGAGGTTGAGGACTGCAGTGCCATATTTATGAGTGTGAAAAAATAACTTTTTGAAATATTGTTCATCTAGGTGGTTGAATTTCATGCAAAACAAAGACATACTTTTGATTAGAGACTTCAACATTACAATCAACTGTGATACTTTAAATATTGAAATGTATTTAGGAACTTGCCTATGTTTCACAGATAACCATGAGCTTAAAAGTCCCGGATCTAAGGTATATGTTGGAAAGAGAATAATAAAAGCAATTCTTCAAATGAAGAAATGCTTATAAGAAGAAATGGATGCTATTAAAAATATGAACATTTATCTACAGTTTTCTTACGAATAATTTCTTGAATTCTCGAGAGTGTATGCTTACTTACAAAATCAAGGGTTTTTTTGAATTCCTTATAATAAACCTTGTAAGTGCTTATCTTGTCTGAAAAATCAATTGATGAATTAAATATTGCCCATTGAACTGAACTCAACACATCGGTAAAAAATATAAAATTCAAAATGATATCAAAAAACCTATTTTGTGTGTATCGATTTACTTGAAAAAATTTTCTTGATTATCTTTCATAGACTATGCATACTAATCAGCTTCCAAGTATTCTCCACTTGGAACATTTTTGGTCTGAATCACACGTTTCTGTCGATAAAAAGAACAGTTTTGATCATACAATCAAGAATTGCGTATTCATCATTCCATTTTAAAATAACCAGAGTGAAACTGATACTTCAGTATTTATTTATATCTTCACCTATATACATGGCATATCACTTCCAAAAATATCAAATTCACTCTGTTCAAGTTCAAGTGACGATCGGAAAACATAAAGTAAAATTTTGATTTCAACATGATGGAAAACTTAGTATCAGATATACAAACATACAAAAGTCTAAGTTACTACAAAGTAAATAGGATAATGAACATTTTTTTTTCAACAGAGTAATAGTGATTTGATATACTTTTTTTTCACCGAGGAATATCATCAATGTTCAGGTTATATGAGTAACTGAAATCAATCATGAATTTTCAAAATCCTGAATATAGATTCTCCACTACTAGCATTATTCGTTTTCAATAAGTTTTGAAACTAACTGTATACCTGACCAAAATCAATATATTTTCTCGTCCACCAACTGTTTTGTAATTTAGTTTTCTCATTGAATCTGTATCAAAGTTAACAGAAATCAAATCAACTCAATAAGTGATTTCATTCGAAATCTCTGTACCAAAATACAAATTTTCGAATTTAACAATCGAAGGAGGCTTTTTGACACTAATTCCTGTGTCGACATATTGATATCTATGTTATTACATTACCAAAAACCAAACATAATTAGAGAGGTAGTGCTTTTCATATTTATTTAGCTGAGGTTCTTTCCATTTGATACATATCTTGACTTAAGGATCAAAAATCTAATCTTGCTCAGACTGACAAAACAAACAATTCAAATCTGATTTTGTGGAGTAATTGGAAAATGAAGAAAACGATTACTGCTAGTCATGAACAGATTCAGAATACCTACACCAATTTTCGTGTATTCAAGAAGAAATAACAGGCTTGAATTACCATCACAATTATGCAATGAAATGATGTCGTATCTTGGGTCCCTTTTCAAACACTTCGATTCAGTGATATAATTTTTGAGTATATTTATATTAATAACCTATCTACAGAGTTTTCAAGAACTCAAAAACTAACTATTAATATACACCTAGTTCTTATCATATTATAATAGGCAAGACAGACATTTCAAAGGTACATATCACAATATTATTAGAAGAATTAAAAGTTCTTGGTCCAAATATGGAATATTGAAGACTTTCTATGTACACAATTTCCATATAAAGATATGTTATCAGTTACCACAAAATTTGTTCTACTTGGATCCCTCTGAAGGTATTTAATTGATTAGATGAATTTATGCACAGAAATTCCAGCAATCAACTTCAAAAAATTTCCGAAATCAGTTTTTTAGTTTAATAATAATGTTTGCAATAAACTTACGTAATATATGAATGACAATCCATTGAGTAAGTATGAGGAATATCTGCATCCATATTAAACACAAAAGAATAGACAAATTTTGAAAATAATGTTTTCCTCGACTCACTGTCGTTCTTTGAAACAAACTTTTCTCTTTGTATACATTCATAAGTAGATTATATATCTCCCAATGGAAAATACTTCACTTGCTTTGAGAAAACAATGAAGATTCGTAGGTGATTTGAGCAAATAGTTCAAAATGAATTATATTTTTCCTGCGACAAAGATATTTCCCGGGTTTGTTGACTGTGTGGACCTGCTGTTTCGTCTACTACTGCGGTAGACATTATCAAAGGCGGACAGACTGTTCTGTAGACACTACAGTTTTGGTTTGCATCTAAGATTTCACTTCATTGATGATATGTGAATATTCTTACCCACTAGTTGATCTCAATGGCCTGATCCAAGAGCAATTGAGTTAATATCCTCTTTCCTTTCTACTGACGAGACGATACATGATGGGACGGGAAGGGACGAGACACGACGGGACGGGACAGGACAGGACAGGACAGGACAGGACAGGACAGGACAGGACAGGACAGG